GAAGATAAGGGGGCTATGGAGGGGGAGGGGGCAAAGGAGGGGAAACCAGGTGGGGGTGGCCCAGGGCCCCATGGTGAGCAGCCAGAACCCAGGAGTCAGATCTGTCCCCAGGCCCAGTGTGGCTTCTGAGATCTGGCAGGTCTCCTCCCTCTTGGGGGGCTGAGGCCTCTCCTGGGCAAAAGAGGGAAAGCAACGCCTGGCCCATAACATGAGGCAAAGCAACGGTGGGCATGTCCCTGCTCTCTGATCCTTATTTATTATTGCTGAACAGAATAGCTCCCAAGTCTCTCTCCATCGTTTCCTGCAAACACTTACCCGCCCCCCCCACCCCTTGAGGAGGGGTGCTCACTCCCTTCCCGTCCCTGTCTGGCAAAGGCCTGACACCTCCAAGAGTTTTCTGAGCAGAGCAATTTACCTCTGGGGCCACACCGGGCCAGGGAATGTAGGGCATCCCCCTTATCTTTGACACCCAGAGGCAGAGTGTACAGCTGCCAACATGTCAGCCTGCTGTGAGCCTAGCAGACAGAGGGACATGGCTGCTGGGCCTGCTGCAAGGAGACCCTGAAACTTTCTAAGCAGAGGGGAGCGCTGGCAGCTCGTGAGCCACCCTGGGCTACAGGGGAATTTGAGGGAGGTGCCGATCTCTTAAAAAACAAGAGATTTCCCCTGGGGATCTGCTGTGTGCCTCCCCATGCAACAATCTCCAGTCTGCTGGCCTGAGAGGGGCCCGCTCTCTCCCTCCCCCAGAGCTCCCTCTTCCCTGTTGCTTCTGCTAGTCTACGTGGCTCCTACATCTTCCCAGGCCCTGTGCACATTCAGCCCTGTAAACCCCACTAGCTCCCGAAAGCAGCTTTCCACGTGTCTTTTCTAAGCACCAGTACGTGTGGTGGGTGTGGTCACTGCTTCTTCCACCAGCAGCCCTGCCCCAGGCCTCTCTCCTCACCTCTCCTGCCATCTAAGCTGAGGAGGGGACAATGTGATAAGCTCTATCAGTCAGTCTTTTCGTTGGATCATCACAACAAGCTGGTGAGGTCAGAACTGTTTCTCCATTTTGCAAATGGGGAAACTGAGGCTCAGACAGCTTACAAACCATGCGCTAATCTATCAGTGATTCCCACCTCTCCAGCTCACGCAAAGAGCTGGACCTCCCCTGGATCCTACCAGCTCAAAGTTTTACATGGCATGGAAGGGGTGTCTGGGCTTCCAAGGCTTCTCTGTGTGATGCTGAGTGTGCTTTGGGGCTCACTGCTCCTAACCACTGTGCTGGGGAAGGGGCTCTGTGCCTGCTCCAGTACTGTGCAGGGGTGACCTCATTCCTCCTCCAATCTCGATGTTACCCCAGATTCTCAGCATAGATTAAAGCCAGTTACTCCTGGCTTCACATCTGAGCTCCTTGTCTTGCAGATGGAGAAAATAGCTCTGTCCCTTCCTGCCTTCCAGGAATGGGCCTTGGGATAGGACCCACAGGGGGCTCCAAGGTAGCTGTGTTTCACTCTGTGCCATCAGCCTGCTTCCCCACTCCCCCCACCACCCCATGGGGCTGTAGCTCTGTCTCCCACCTCCCTTCCAGTCCTCTTGCCCTCATTTGTACTGGTTCCTCTTTCCCCAGGGCCCTGGGCTTTCCAGCTGTTCTGACCACCTCCCTGCCAGCAGCCAGGTTCCTCTACCCACCGCCTCCTGCTCCCCCTGCCATCTGGGTCCCCCTTGGAGTTGCAACAGCGGACACATGTGCCAGAGCAAGGAGCCACACCAGGGAACCAAAGGCCTTTGGATTTGGGAGGGAAAGCCAGGGACACTGTCCCATCATGCACACTACTTGAGCACAAGAGGGGCGGAGTCAGAGCTGTGACCAACTAGAACTGAGGAGTCTGTACATAGCTCAGCATGGAGACATGTTTGACCTTGGACATGCCCAGGTTTGGGTCTTGGCTGTCTGTCTTTTAGTTTAGCTGTGTGTTTCCTTGTCTGAGGTTGAGGGAGCACTAGCCTTGTAAAGAAAGCTCCAGAGAGTAGAGATCAGGTCTGGCTCGCTCAATGCTACTTCCTGGACTCATGGGATCTTATGCCCCCAATAACCACTGGGGAATTAAATAACTAGTGATTAAACAGGAAGTGCACAAGCGCTCTTAACACGGTAGCAAATGCTCAGTAAATTTTTGCTGCTATGGTTAGCAGGCCACAGTTGGAGGCACCACACACCATGTAAGTCTAAAGGAATCCCAGAAACTGAGAATGCCAAGGGCCCCCCAGTGCCCACTCAGGAGCTTCCGGACCTTTTCTGTTGGACCCCATTCTTGCCTTTGCCACTGGGCCTTGCCTTTCTGGGCCTCTCTGGCTCCTTGGCACAGCCAGGCTTTCCTACATGAGGAACCCCGAAGAAGGAAGGGGAGGAAGTCACAGCCCTTTGTGGGGCCATCTAACCAGATATAATTAATCAATAATCAAGCTGCCACTTTCCTGCCAACCAGCCTCCTGAAGGGTACTCGCTCTGTCTCTGAATCAATTGCCGTACTTTTGCCTCCATGCCCACAGAGGCTGGGTGCCAAGGGGGACGTAGGGCCACCAGCAGGGACCTCCCTGCCACTTTGTCAGGGAGATGTGTGCTCCAGGTGGCCCCAGTGTTGTCACAGATGGAAAACTGAAACCTGGAAAGGGGTTCACAGGAATGGGGCTTGAACCCCAGGACGCCAGAGAGATGACTGTCACCTACTGTGGCCTAAAGTGCATCAGAAGGCTCTGACTGTTACCTCCCCAGCCTGAACCCCACAACTGGCCAAGATGTCACTGATGCAGTGTAAGGCAGGCCCTGGGACACACTGTGGATGTCAGGGTCCACTGCAGCAGACTGAGACACGCCAGGATCCTGGTATGGTCTGGAGACTCAGTTTCCATCCCTGAGCTGCCATACCAGGTGGGACTGCAGCGTTGTGGGGAGAGTGGGCCTTGTGCCAACCAGACAATTGCATCTCAAGGGCAAGGTCACAGAGGTGACCTGTCACCCAAAGCTTATGGTGCTCCTACATCAGGTAGCTTCCAGAATATTCCTGATTTTAAATCTCCTGTTCTAGTTGGGAGAAATGAAAAATGACAAGTGTCCAAGCCATGGGCCCCAAGTGTGTACCTGCTTCACTCTCTATGCCAGCCTTGCACCTGACTCTACCTCCTGAACCACTTGCCTTTGCCTTCGTCCACACAGAATCCACACATGCTGTCGAACTGAACTATGATGCAGATACAGGCTGAAAACCAGAGCGCCACATGGGCCCTGCCCACCACACTTGGTGGGCATCACAGCAGCCAATGGGGGAGTGAGTGAGTGAGAAAGCGAGTGGACTTCCAGCTTTCCCTATACCCCAAGGCTGCTCCTGCACCTCTACTCTCTTCCTGATGCCTGGTCAAGATGCAGAAATTATACACTCGGACACATCATATATTTCACAAGAATAGGTGCATATTATACACATCGTGCAGCAAATTGCTGCTTCCGCTTCTTAAGACTTACACGTTCATGCAGCATTTACACCCTGCTGTGAAGAGACCCAGGGCATGGGTGCAGCTCCTGCCGGTAGCCTGTGTGTGGAAGTTGTCTTCCAGTTCTGTCCTAACACCCATAGGTCTCAATTCTGCCCATCCCTCTGTGTCATTGCTTTGACAAGTATATATTGTATATATTTTTTCAGCACTTTGTTGTTGTTGTTACTGTTTTAGCACATACTACATGCAAACCCCACTCTGAGTGCTCCATCAACTTCAACTCCTTTACCCACCACCACCATCCAATGAGGGAGGAGAATTAGCGCTTCCATTCCGCAGATGGCTCAGGGATGAGGTCTTTGTCCCTACAGATCAGCACAGTATGAACCCATGACCAGAACAGCGTGGAACCAGCTAGGTAGCCGCTGTCTAGACAGTTCCTGAGAACCAATTGTTTTTACCTCCCATTACGGTCTCTTGCCTCCCCCAAAATGCCCTCAAAACAGTCTTCTCTAGAATGGTGCAGTCAAGGATTAACTCAGCAGGTCTGGGTCACCTACACCCTTCCTGTTCCCAAGAAAAATTCAACTCTGGTCCAGCTCCTGGCAGGTGACCTGTAATCTCTGAGTCCATAGAGCGTCCTGGCTGATGAGAGTCTGTGTTCACCTGGGGACTTGGGTCACACTGCAGAGCCTATGCTGATGATATGATTCATGGTGGGGTCTGGAGTCAGGTAGCATCAGCTTGACCTCTGGAGGGTTGAGACTAAAGTCAACCTCATAAGCACCCAGTCACACCTTTGTGATCAGCTCCCAATAAGAGCCTGGACACTGAGGCTCAGGCGAGTGTCCCTGGCGAGGGTACCCCACACCTGTTGTCATATATCCCTGCTAGAAGAGTAAGTGCTGCTTGCACACTTCCTCTGAGAGGGGACAACAGGAAGCTTGACCTTGATGTCTCTGGATCCCTGTCCCATGTTTGCTTTCAGTCTGCATTCTTTTGTTGTAATAAACTAACTGAGTCGTGAGTCTTTCTAGTGAATCTTTGAGCTGAGGGTGGTCTTGAGGAGCCCTGGACACAATAGCCTTCTCGGTCACTGGACAGTGACAGACATCCCTGTACAGGAACACCACACTTTAGCCTAGCCCTGCCCACTCATGCCCTCCAAACTTCCTAGACCCTAAGGAGGACACTTATCATCTACACAAGCACCTGCTCCATTGAAAAGCCCAGGCAACTTGCCTGCACAGCCCAGAAGGTGACATCCCCCGAACCAGGTGACAGCTAGGAACCAGGTAACATTCCAGGTACCAGATAACATCTCAGGAACCAGGTAAGCCCGACCTTAGTAACAAATAATGTTCCCCGGGAACCAGGTGACATCCAAGGAATCAGACCCAAGTGACATGCCAGGTTACCAGGTGACATCCAGGTGCCAGGTAATAACACCCTCAGAGCTCGGTCATGTTCCAGGTAGCAGGCGGCATGCCGGCCCCGGGTCACTCGCCCTGCCCCCTGAGGCTTACCTGCCGATGACCTCGATGTTGGAGATGGCATAGAAGTACTTGTAGAGGTTCTCGCGCTGCACGTAGGTGCCGCCCAGCGCGGGGCGCAGCAGGCGCATGCGCAGGTCGGTGAGGGTGAAGAAGTCCTTGAGGCCCTTGGCGCTCTCCAGCCGCGTGTACAGGTTGTCCATGTTGCGCAGGTCGGGGCCGGCGAAGATGGCGAAGCGGTCGCGCACCTCGAAGCGCACGTGCTTCTCCTTCTTGGAGCCGGCCCAGCGCGAGTACTCCTCGGTGCACAGCACGCGGTGGGCGCTGGACGACGACATGTCGCGGGCCCGGCGGGCGGACATGCCGAAGGCCTCCATGCAGTCCTCCGCGTAGAACTGGTACGGCTGCCATGTGCGCCCGTTGTCCAGGGACTTCTCGAGGACCATGACGGTGGGCCGGCCGTACTCGAAGGTCATCACCACGTCGTCGGTCAGCTCCACGCTCTTGTTCCAAGACAGGGTGATATTGGCTTCCAGGGGGCTCGGGTAGCGGCTCCAAGTGATGCTCTGCCAGTAGGTGGCCAGTCCCTCGTCCTCCCTGTCGAACATGAGCCGGGGCGGGTGGGCCAGGTCTGGGTTGGAGGCGTCACACTCGTTGCTGCACAGATAAGGATTCTCCTGCAGAGGGAGAGGGAGAGGGAGAGGGAGAGGGAGAGGGAGGGTGGGCCCTGGCTGCTTGGGAGGAGCTGGGGAGCCACTGCCTGGCTGGCCCTTGCCTTGTGCCCAGCCTTCTGCCCGGTTGTCACTGGGTCCCAGGTCCAGGCATCCGCAAAGCTCTGTCATCACCAATGCCAGGTTTCCAATAATATTACAAGATGGGAGACTGTGCAGGGGCCCAAAAGACGGGGGTGCTAGGAACTGTGTGCTATCTACTCAATTTCCTGTAAACCTACAACTGCTCTAAATAATAAAGTCTATTAATTTACAAAACAACAAATCCCTGTCACTAACAACCACACTGGCGCCCCAGACCACTCACGGGCCTTTTGATGAATATTTCAGCTGTCTGGATTGCTCAGAGACAAAATGGCTTTGGATCTGAGTTAAAAACTTCTTGCTCTCAAATGAGTCATTCGGGCCCCCTCGGGGTTGTGGATGCATGACCGCCTCTCCTGCCAGCCACGCGGCAGTTAGCCTGCAGCCAGAGGTTTTGATCCTCTGCAGTAGAGGACAGGGTCCCTCAGTAGGCAGTGCTGGCCTGGGGTTCACCAAGGCAAGGTGGGATCCAACAAAACCTTCTTTGACCAAAATAGTTCTGTCCTTGGTACCCTGTGGTGCCATGGTCCACTCTACCTGGCCTGGGCCTGCAAATGTCAGGATGTGAGGGGCTTATCCTTGAATCCAGTACGTCACTAAGCAGATGGGGAAACTGAGGCCCAGGGAAGGTAGGATTGGCCCAGGCCTTCTGGAGAGCAGGAGGTGTTTGTAAAGACGAACCCGCTCCTCCCTCTCTTCCCCTTCCCTCTCTCATCCTCCTCCACCTCCTTCCCTGCACAGCCTCAGTGGTACCTGTCCCGCTGGCAAGCTCACATTCACCATGACAGGTGGAGGACCTTCCTCACACTCTTGCTGGTGACTCTGAGCAGGTCACACCCCTCCTATGCTTCTGCATCATATAGAGAGCAGCTGCACGGCCCTGTGCAGACCCGGGCCTGGGTGACTTGAAGGAGGCAGGCTGCTGGGCTAGAGGAGGCAGGAGTTAGCTGAAAGGTCGCTTCCCAACCCTAGATTCTCTGCCCTGGCAGTAGGAAGGGCACTCTGAGCCGGGGGGCTGGAGGGGGCTGGGGGGCTGGGAGGGCAGAATGAGCTCTGGTTGTGCCTCTGAGAGGCAGACATTCTGAGTCCCCGAGCCTGGCCTCTGGGGGTGGGGGACAGTTTGCACCCAGACTGAGGGCCCTCTCTTTCCTTCTCCTATCTACTTCACCCGTGCCTTGTTAGGGGCAGAATTTAACCCCTCGAATTCACATGTTGACATCCTAACCCTCAGCACCTCAGAGTGTGGCTGTATTTAGAGACAGAGTCTAGAAAGAGACGAGAGGCCCATGAGGCTCTCAGCTGGGCCCCAGTCCTTAAAAGAAGAGGAAAGTTGCCCACACAGAAGGCCAGGCGCACCCGCGCAGAAGAAAGGCCATGTGAGGACACAGGGAGAAGGCAGCCACCTACGAGCCAAGGAGAGAGGTCTCAGGAGAACCCAGTGCTGCCAACACCTTGATCTTGGACTTCTAGCCTGCAGGACTGTGAGACCACAAGTGTCACCGCTGAAGCCACCCAGGCTGTGATATTTTTTACAGCAGCCTCATCCCAGGTGAGCCAAGCAGGAAGAGGGTTTGAGGACAGGCCTGGGTTTTCCACCCCCTCCCCCAACTGGTTTCTCCGTACCCTGGTACCAGGTGGTATCGCACTGCCTCGCCTATCCAGAAAGCTCCTGAGAGCCCAGTGCTGAAGCTGTGCCTGTTCCTCGGAAGTGACACCAATATTAACCTACTTCAATATGTCTGTCAACTCTCAATTGCTGTGAGTCACCCACACCTCAACTTTCTCTGTTCCCTCTTTCAGTGCCCAGCCTTCTGGTGGTTCCTGGGGTGAGATGGGGGGACATAGGGCCCCAACTGCTCCTGCTGTGTGTCCCTGGCAAGACTGACACAGCCAACTCTGCCAGGGGACAGGGCTCCAACCTAGCTACCGACAACGTGCCACCCCAACCTGCAGAGCCTGCTGGCCCCCGCCCCGGCCCCAGGAAGCAGATGGTTAGAAACTAATGAATCAGCCTGTGTGTTTACCAGCCCCACGCCTGCTGCAGAGCGGACTTCGCCAACCAAGAGCACAGTAAGTAAGTCCCAGCCCTGGCCAGCGCAGACTCACTCTCACTCACTCTCTCTCTCTTCCCCTTCCTTCCCCCCTCCACTATTTCTCTTCTTCCTTCTGCCCCTCCTCCCCAAAGCCTTGGAATTTAAGTATTCAGGGGCCTGGGGTGTGCATCCATGCTGAAGTGACCATCTTTTCCGAATGCTGCATTTGCGCACACTCTGCCTTTCTTTCTATCCTTCACTAGGAAGAATTCCAAGGACTGAGCTGGGAATGAAGCCTGGTCCATTCCCCTCCCCGCTCAGTGCTACAGCAAGGACAGTGAATGAGAGAGAAGTGGCCTTCACCAGCCTTCTGGGTCTGCACATTTCCACTGACTCCAGGAGATCAAATTAACTGGTCATGAAAAAGACAAAATAAAATGGCCTGACATAGGCAGCAAAAGTTAGGGACATTTCAGAACCACTTCTAACCTTTTAGGATGGCACCAAAGCCAACCTTTGAGACTATCGAAAGCAGTTGCTGCTTCTGTAACCATTTCATGAATAGTACCAAATAAATAAATAAATAAATAAACAAAAAGTCCCTGATTAGAAGCCTTGGAATTTTCTCTAGAACAATATACTCACTCACTACATTTTCCATACAATTTCCAGGGGTCCGTGGAATCCCAGGTCCTGGGTTGGGCCCCCTGTTTGAGTCTAGAACCGTTGAGGGAAATGGCTCGGGGATCTGAAAGCCCTGAGCTCCGTCCTTGGAGGCTGTGTGACCTTGAGGAAGTCACTTTACGTGTCTGAGCTTCGCTTTCTCCATACAATGTCATGTCAGACAATGTGTAAGAAATACCTAGAAAAAGGTAGCACTTGTTTTAACACAGCAGTATCACGCACACTAGTCCACAGCAACCTTCTGAGAGAGGGAGACAGAGGCTAGGCCCACTGGGTCATGGGGAAGCCGGGCACTCTATGACGGGCTGCCTCAGAAGAGCAGTCATGAGATCACTCATCGTGTCCATGCACCAGGGCTGGTCTGGGTGCTTGGGTACCATTCCTCTCTGCACCCTCCCAGCAGCCTGCCCGGGGCCAGGCGTTACTACTATGCCCACTTTCCAGATGGGACTCTGAGCACACGCCAGTCCCACACCACTTCCCCTAGACCTCATGGAGCCACCTTGCGGAAAGCACGTCTATCATATCTGCAGTTCTCCTGTCTTCACACACAAAGGCAAGTCACCTGGAACCCAGGCAGGTGCAGCTGGGGACAGGTCTCCTGAAAAGACAAGAAGTACATTTCCCCACACCTGTGAAAAAACATTTTATGCCACTCTTCAAACCTTGCTCTCTTAAATGCTTTGCTTTTCTGTTATCTTCTGGGCGAAGAGTACAGTTGGAATCAGAGGCCAGGTGGTAAATGCTATGGACAAGATGCAGGCAAAAGCCATCACTGAATGGGAAAGTGAATTGTTAGCAGAGCAGAGGTAACCGTGTCCATGGGAAGCCTCTGGGTCCCTAACCAAAGAGCCTGCGCAGGGTGGCCACCAGAATAAAATGAAGTCTCAGAAAGAGGAGTGAACAACTTCATCCCGACTGGGCTTGAAAACCAAACATGTGTTGGGACAAAAATACAAGTTGTTGTCTGTGGACATGAGTAGGGTTTGGTGACTTGCAAAGCAGGTGGCCAGAGCAAGTGGGTGGGCTTTGCAGTCTGTAGTGCATGAGGGGTGAGCCTTGTGGTCCTCAGCACTGGCTCCATGAGTTTGGGGGAGTTCCCATGGCAGCCCTAGCCCCTGGCACTCCTCAGGAACTCAGGAAATCTTTGTGCAATGAATGAAAGTCCAACAGGGTTGGCGCCACTGGCTTCACACTAAATGCCACCAAGGCAAGAGCTTTGTGCAGCATCTGCTCAGAGATGCTGGGCACAGGGTGGTGTTCAGCATCCTGGGAGTTGGACTGCCATCGAGGCTCGTGGGATCCCAGAGGACAGAATTCTTCTGTCTACATTTTATACACAGGGCATTTACACACAGAGCAACTTCCCAAGGTCACAGCTCTGTCATGGGACAAGAAGCCCCAACTCTGAGACAAGTGGGGACACCATGCCCTTCACCCAAAAGGGAAAGGATGCCACCGCCCCCAGCCTGTACCACTCACCCGCAGACATGGGTTCCACCCGGGAGGCAGCCAGCCATCTTTTTGCCACGAAGGCGTGTGGGCAGGCCCGGAACAGTTTAGCAGCTGACAGATTTTTTTGAACCTATCTGTCGACTTGTCAACCTCACTGAGGGGCTGGAGGCAGCTACCATGTCCCAGGTGGGAGGCAGGAGGCTGCCAAGGAGAGGCCCAGGGATTGGGGTGCCTGGGAGGAGGGCAAAGGCAGCACCAGCTCCCATTCTTAAAAGATTCAGGGTCTTAGGAAGAAGCCAAGGTGGGGAAGGAAGCAGAAAGGCAGCAGCACGAGCTGCTCCCTCCACCTTGGACTTGGGGAACCTCTTCTGGCCTGAGCAGGTGTGTGGATCAATAATAATATCCTGACCCCTAGTGTCATGGAGCTAGAACTTGGGGCTATCTCGAACATCACGTGTGACCTGGAGCAGGGCCTTGCACTATCTGTGCCTCAGTTTCCCTCATTCATAAAGGCAAGTCACCTGGAACCCAGGCAGGTGCAGCTGGGGACAGGTCTCCTGAAAAGACAAGTGCGAGAGTGGGCTGACCAACTCTGTCATCCTAACGTCTTAAATTCTGTGCATCCCTCAGTCCCCCACACTGCTTGCAAGGAAGGGCACAAAGCCACACCTTTCTTGCCCAACTCCAGGA